TAGATTTTAATTTTATTTGATAAAATAATAATAATTTTATTAAAATAATAAATTTTAATATATAATATTAAACTATTAATTTATTAATAAAAAATCTATAATTAATTACTAAAATGCTAAAAGCATTATTAACAAAATAAGATATATATATTAATATTTATTGATATATTTTTTTTAGTAATTCGAAATTTTAATTATAAATTAATTTATAAAATAAATAATAAATTAATTAAATAATTAATAATAAATTATAAATTTATATTTAAATTAAATCTTTATATTTAGAGAATTTTATATTTTTTTTTTTTTTAAATATAATTAATTTATTTTTATTAACTAAATTTATAATAACTTAAAATAATCTTATTTCAAAAAAATAAAATATTTAACAATTAAAAATATATAATTCTAGTCCTAAAAAACTGAATTAATTAAATAATATGTGTTATTTAATAGATAATTAGATAATTACATTTTTAGAAACTTTTAAAAGAAATTCAAAATTATTATTTTAGTTATAAATGTAAAAAAAAAATTATAAAAACCAAATTATTAATAAATATATAGACTTAAAAAATAAAAAAAAATATTGTTTGTTAAAAGTTATATCATTTAAGACGAGGAAAATACCTACAAACTATGAAATACAATTTAAAAAAGAAATAATTACTAAAAACAACGCATTTTATAATTATTAGGTTTTTATTATCACTATTAATAATTATTATATATAGGCTATCAAAAGCTAATAATATAAATATTTAAATTTAAAAAGGAACTTAAAAAAATTAATAAATGCGACAAAATATTTTACTAAAAACTAAACTATGTATAATTTTTAAAATAGTAGCTTCTTGCTTTTTAATAAATAAAATCTCATTGTGGTGATATAAAAAATTTAAATATTTTATTATCAGAATTTTTTTTTATAAAAATAGGCATTAATGACTAATTGAAAATAAAAAAAAATTAAAAAATTTTAATAATTAATTTAAAAAATTATTGGGTAAAAAAATAACTAATATAAACAATTTAATAAACTAATTATTTTGTTTATTAAAGTAGTTATGTTAGTGTTTATAATAATACAAACATTTATTAGGCTAGTTTTTATGAAATTTATAATAATTATAAAATGATATAATATAAGAAATAAATAATTAAAATTATTTGTACTTAATTTTATAAAAATAAATTAATAAAATATAAATTTCATGTAAGAAATAAAAAAAAATAATATTTAAATAGTAAAAATATACTAAAAATATATAGAGATTTAATATTCTTAAAATTTAAGCTATATTAGTTAGATTAATAAATTTATTATTTAAAATAAAATTATTATATAATATAAAAAAAATATATAAATGAAAAATTGTAAAATTTATTAATAAAAAAAAAATATATATATATATATATATATATATATATATTTATATATATATATATTTTGTTTTTAATCATTTTTTAATAAAAAAAAATATATATATATTATTTTTTTTAATTTTTATTATAATCTTTTTTTAAATAATTAAAAATCTATTAAATTTTTAATTTTTTTATTTTAGAAAAAAGAAGAAAATTTAATTATACTTATTTTTTTTTATAATATAATAATATATTATAAACGAAAATAATTTTTTTTTTCGATATTAAATAATGAAAATAAAAAATATTTAATGTTTTTTTTTTTATTAAAAAAAAAATAGATTTCTTAATATTTAGTATTTTCTTTCAACATTACATACCTCTCATTAATTTATTGCATGTTTATGAAATTAAACTTTTTTCGCAATGACTTTCGTCTTTGCAGCAAGTTTTAAGATTTTTTCCACATTCGAATCCTCCAATATCCTTACAAGATTATTTACATGCATCACTAACATAATTAATATGACATTAGAATTTTTCTCTTATTTTACTACATGAATCAGAGATAATTCCTTTATTACAGTAACTTTCACTCCTGCAGCATACTTTAGAAACCTTTCCACAAGGATATCCTCCGTCTCTTTCACACAAACTAGAACATCTTTTATCTTTAAATTATTAATTTATTCCCCATAATTTAACATCTTTTGATCTCAAAGCATTAGAAGTTTTTTTGAAGAATAAAGAAGATTCTTCAAAAGTTTAGTCATGTATGTAAAGTAGTGTACATGAAAGAACTACTAAAAATGTTACTAATAAGGAATATTAAACAGATTATCTCATTTTTTATCTTATTTTTATTTTTTTACTTTTTTTTTTTTAATTTATTTATATTTTTAAATAAAAATTATAAATAGACTAAATAATTAATTTTTATTTTCAAAAAAATTGTTTTAAAATTTTTTTTTTCTTTATTATATTTTTTTTTTAATTGATATTAATTTTATTTTATTTAAAAAAAAAACTTATTCCAGATTAAAATAATTATTATACTAAAAATATATAAATATTAATTTATTTATTATAAAAATTATTTAAATAAAGAATTCCAAACAAACATTTATTTTTAAATTAATAAAAAAATAGTTTTTATTCAAATTTTTTTAAAAGAATTATTAAAATTTTGTATTAAAATATATATTATTATTTATAGTTAAAGCTTTTATCATATTCATATTTAAATTTTTTATTTTTAATTAAAATTTAAAATTCAAATTAAATATTGAATTTTATTTTTTATTTGGATATAATTATTTTAAATATTCGCATATATTTAATAAAATATAATTAATTTAATTTATATAAACAGTATATATAATTATTTTAAAATAAAAAAAAATATAAAATAAAAATAGTTTTGTTATATATTATTAATATTAAAAAATGAAATAAATAATTATAATTTATAAAATATATATTATTTTTTTAATAAAAATTTATTCTTTAATTTAAATCAAAAATCAATAAAAATTATTAGCTCCATTAATAAAAATAGGACCCCCGTAATCTTAAAACTAATTCATATTTTTATTAAAACCATATTATTAGTCTTAAAAGCTAACCCTATTTCTATTAGGAGTATTAGGCGAAACATCTCTCATTATTCCTTATTAATTATTAATAGGGGAATAGCTTTATCTTTAATGTGGCGAATAGTTTTACATTTAATAAGGATTTCTGTTAAAAGGGTTAATATTATTGTTTTAATCACATTATTAAATTGGATTAGATAATTTTCTCTTCATAGTTTGATCCTATATAAAAGTATCTCCACCTATTCTTAAATTGTTGTTTTTTCGTAAAAGCCTTTTTATTCGAAATCTTTAAGTGACTTTTCCATTACTTTTTTTTAATTTTTTATTTTTTATTTTTATTTATTACCACTAAATGTACTTTCAATTCCTCCTAATTTTTAAATATTTTATTAAATTTAAAAATTAGGATCTTATTATTATTAAATATATAATCTCTATTGCATATCTTCTTCGTAATAATTCCTTCTTTACATATTAGGGTTTGGAGATATTGGCCTGTTTTAATTTTATTGTTGTTTTTGCATATATAAATTTTTATAAAATTATTCTTGTTCGTATTATTGATTTGGATATGTTTCGCAATAATATGGCTTTTTTATTTTATCTTTCTTATATATTATATATTTTTAAAAAAATTTACATTATGTTAGTTTTATAAATATTATAAATCCTCTCTTTAAATTTAATTATTTTTATTTTAATAGTTTATATCATTTTCATTTGTTTTTCTTTATTTTCTTTTTGTGTATTTTTTTATTTTTTGATTTCAATAAATATATATTTGAATTATTTACTATTATAAAAAGCTTTATCTTTTAGTAAATTATTGATCTAATGGCTTTTCTGATAACTTTTATTAGTATTATTAATAAAATCTAATTTTTAATTATAAAAAAAATAAATTAATTTAATTTTTATTTTATTTTTTATATAAACTCTTTATCATATTGTTTCATTTTTTATTAGAAATCATCAAAATTAGAAACTTTTCTTAATTCAACTAATAATTTATCAACATTTTGAGGAGGTTTTTCTATTTGTATTTTATAATATTCATATATTTGATATGTTTTTTAATTAAAAAATACATTATTTTTCCATTTTTGATTTTTTGTATATTATTTTAAATATTTTTTATTATTATTTGAAATATTACAATATAAAAAATAAAAATATTAAGATAAATTATTTATTATATTGATAATTTTTTTTTTTAAAAAAAAAAAAACAGATAATTAAAATTTTATTTAGTTAAAGGTTTGATGAATTTTAATTTTAAAGCAAATATATTATAAAAAAAGAAAACTAATGAAAATAAATAAAAAGATATACTATTATTAAATAAAACTAATTTAAATTATAATTTGATAAAATAATATAAAAAATTATTTTATAAAATAAGTATTTAATAAAAGTGATAAAATTCTATTATTTTAAGTAAATTAAATAAACATTAAGAAATATTAAAAACTAATAAAAAAATAGTTATATCAATTCATTTCTTAAAAAAATAAAAAACTTTTATTTTTTCGTATTGCTTTTTCTAAATACTTAATTAAAAAGCAATATAAACAAGTAATAATTTCATTTAAAAAATTCACGAAAATAATCATTAATATTAACCCAATTTCATTTAATTTATTAAAATTTTAATAAATAAGTTAATTACATGTGAAAATAAAATCTTAAAATTACAATAATATATATTGTCAAATCAAACTTTAATTAAATTCCTTAAGAATAAAAAGTAACTAATGCCATATAATAAAAATGAATTTAGTCAATAATATAGTTAAATTAAAAAGTTCAAAAAATAATATAAAGGATTAAAATTTAAACAAAATCATAAAATAATTAATAACTTATAAAAATATTTAAAAATAAAAAATAATAAACTATGTGAATAATTTTTAATTAATAATAATAAAAAAATCATTTAAATAAATAAAAAATATATCTTTTTGTATTTAATTCAATAATATATTATTATTTGTATAAATATTATTTATTTTTATTAAAAAATAATATAAAAATATGGCTCCTCCACCTAAATATATAATTACAAGGAAATTAGTTAGAAAATATTTCGAAAAAAATTTACCAAAATAACCACTTGAAACTTAAGCTCAATAGGGTTTATTACAGAAATGTTGGAAATAATATGGTTTAGATGATCCTAGATGCAAATAATTTGAAGCCTTACATGACTACTTACATACTTAAACATAATAATATCGTGAAAAGATTAAAAATCTTAGAATTAAAGAAGATGTTATGGGAAAATTAAATACTCCAGTGTACAAAAATCAAAAAAAAGGAAGATTTTAATCAGGCGAAATTCGTGAATGGAATATTTACGATGGTTTAAAATGATTATTTTTTGTTGTTAATATATAAAATATAAAAAGGCAATATATATTTATTTAGTAATATTTAAGAAAATTTCAAACTAAATATATATTTTTTTATTTAAAAAATCATTTTTTATTAAAATCCGCCATATAAAATTCTTTCGAAAAATAAAATAAAAAGAATTCGATATTTTAAAATATATAATAAAAAATAAAATGCTATTTTCAAATAAAAAAAGATTCATTTTTTGTTAAAAAAGAAAATAAAATAATTTTTTTAGTTTAAAAAATTAAAATTTTTGGAAAGACTTGAAATTAACTTTATATTTTTTTTTTTTTATTTTTATTTTTATTTTTTTTTATTTTTTTTTTTTTAAAAAAAGTAAAATTATTTTATAAATGATTTGTTTTAACAAAAAATTAAATTTTTTATTATTTTTTTAAGAAATAGTTGAATTAGTTCTAATTTATTTTAGAAATACTTTTTTCAATTTTATGTTTTCTTTATATATTGTTATTTAAATGGAAAAAAATAATATAAATGTAATAATTTTTTTTATTTTTACAAACTTTTATAATTAAATTAATATATATCATATTAAACCAATCGCTTAATTATAATCACTTAATATTTCAATAATAATATTTCTTATTTATTAATCATTTATGCTCATACATTTTAATAGTTATTAACTTAAATAACCCACAAATCCTTTATTATTATTATTGTATAAAATGTTTTTAATATCTTTTAATTATAAATCTTCATAAAAAATTAAGTTTTATTAAATTTCTTAAAAAGATCCTTTTTTTAGATTAAGTTTTTATAATTAAAGTAAAAACTAAAAAAACAAATTTAAAGTTACCTATTATTTTATAATAATATTGTAAAAAAAAAAAAACAAATATTTAATAAAAAAATACTGATTATTATTATAGTTTTATTCTTAATTATAATAAATTATAAAATAGTTTAAAATGTGTTAGCAAATAGAAATTAAAAAAGGTAAATACAAACGAAAGACAATATAATTATCTGATTAAAATTAATTATTAAAAATATCAAAAAAAAACTTAATACTAAATTAAGAAAAAGAAATAGAATTGTTTTCTTTTAAAAAAGAATGATATTCTATTTAAATATTAAATTTTTTTATAGAAAAATTATAAATAATTCTTCCAAATTTTAATAGTATTTCACTATCTAGGTTTTTATTTTGTTAAGAAATTAAATTAGAACCAAAAAAAAGCATATTTTTATGATTTTATAAATACAATTAAACATCTTCATCATTTTTGAAGTTCTGTTAATTAATTTCTCCTTATGTATCTTATTCGAAGAAATCTATTAAATACTTTATTATCTTATCAATATATATATCGTTTAGGATAAAAGCATCGCCTATTACCATAAAAGTATCTGTTGCAATAACCCAGATAGGTTTTTAGTGTTATAATTACTATTAAGACCAAAAGTTTTGGTAATTTTGATCATATTTTAATAATATTAGATTATATATTTATCCAAAAAAATCTTATATGTATATTTTTCGTATGTTTTGAGGATTTAAAATAATATTTTTGATTATAGAAAGAGCTTTTTAAAATATAGTATAATTATAAATATCACATTTTTAGGATTTAAAGAGATCTTTTAAAAAGCTTAAAAATACGTATTGAAGGAAAGTATTTTGATTATCGAAATTTTGAGCTATTTTTTCTAATAAATTTATAATTTATTAGTTTTATATTTATTCTTGTTATTATTAATGTTTTGTAAATGTTATTGTCTCGTCACTTTTTATTTATTAGTTAAATTAGATTATTTATTAAAATAAAATAAATGAGCTTGTTATTAATTAACAATATGTTGCCGTTAATATAACATTATTTTAAAATATAATTATTTCGATTAAATTTTTTATTTAAGGAATCATTTCTAATAAAATAAACTTTTTTTTATTATTTTATTTTATTTATTATATTAACGAAAAAAAAAAATATAAATTTTTAATATAAAAAATGAAAATTTTAATTTATTATATTATTTTTTTTTAACTTTTTTTTCTCTTTTTGAAGTATTTTGATTACTTTACAATATTTCTTGTATATTATCTATTAATTCGATTAATTAAAATTATACTATTAAAATAATTGAACTTTTTTTATAAAATAAAACATTTAAATTATTAAGGCAAGAAATAATGATAGGATCAACACCAAAACTAACAAAATCTTATAATATTACTAAATAAATTTAAAATTCATTCATTTCTTAAAGTGTATTATTATTTTCTAAATAAATTTAAGTTTTAAATTATGATATTTTTAAGTTGCTTTTTTCATTCAAATTTTCGGATTATTTTTTTTTTAAAAAAGTTTGATTTTTCTTTGGAATTTTTTTTTTTGATTAATGTAACTATTCTTTTTAATCCATAAATTAATCTAAATTATCCAAACTTTTAAATTTTTATATTCCATGTTAAACATATTAGCTATTATTTAAATTTAAGATTTCTATTTTATCTTTATTTTTAGTAGTTTATATTTATTTAAAAAATTTAAATTAAGAAGAAAAATTATTATTATTATTATTGCTATCATCAACTTTTAATTCCTTTTATTTATAACTATCAAATTACAAAGCTTATATATATAATTATTAGTCTTTACTAGGTAATTCTTAACTTTATTTATTAGTATAATTCGAAATGATATCTTATTTGAAGTCATTTAGAGTTTTTAAAAAGAATTTTTTTTCAAAATCTTCATTAAACTCGCATTAAATAGGGCTATTTTTTTCTTTGAAATTTCATAATATGTATCTAAGTCTTTTTTTCCGCCTATACTTTTATTATTTCTGTTAAATTTTCCACAAATTAAATACTCGAATTCATCCACTCGAAAAACTCTTCTTCTTATATTTATTAATTTTCCATTTGTTATTTTATTTCTAGTAAACTTTTTAATATTTAACTTCCCATTTATTTCAATAAATCCTTAAAAAGTAAATCTTTGTAAATGCTTTAATCTATTACTTCGCTTAAATTTTCACAATAGCCAACACTTTTCATAAAAAAATCAATTCCTAATTCCCTTATATCAAAATTTTCATGTTAAGAGCCTATTTGTGATAAACAATAAAGGATATCTCTTATGTATTTCATTGTAATTAATTATATTTCTTATTTTTCTTCTTATTAATATTCATCTTTTTATAATTCTTATTTAGAAATTAATATTAAACTTTATATCAGGAGTAATAATAGAGTACAAGATTATTTAATAACAATTTTTTCTCCTGTATAATTAATTATGTTTTGAATACATTTAAGGCTATTGTGTACTGTTAAAATTGAAATATTATCCGGCTAGCTTGCCATAGTAGTTTCAATGAGAATTTTCAGAGTTCTGAAATTTTCTTAAAGGATTTATTCGTTTTCGAATTCGCTAAAAATAAGGACTATTTAAGAAACACTTTCTATTCCATTTTAATTAAAAGTAAACTCTTTTAAATTTTTTTCGACCAAAATAGAAATTTCATATGAAATCATTTACTTAATATCCATAAACTAACTTAAAGAACATAAATTTTCGAAAATTTAAAGGATTTCACCTTAATAATTTATTATGTTCCATTCTGAATCATTTATATTTTATTATTCTTCATTGTTCTATTGTGTATAATTTTCTTTATAATCAATATTTTCCTATAATTGCATTTATTAATTATTATTAAATTCTTAATTACTATTATTATATTATTTTAATAAAGCATTTATTAAATAGCTTATTATTTGGATTGATTTTATTCTAAATTCTTTATTTTGACTATTTGCAATTACTAATAATGTAGCTGTGATTTTTTTCCATAAACATACAACTTTAGATTGATTTTGTTCGAGAATTTCTTATAGCTTTTCTAAATAATAAAGACTATTGTTTGGTTATGATATTGCTTATTCTAATATTAAATATTAAGTATTTGATTTTTTATGGAATTTTTCTAATCCTTTTTTTTGTTAATTTCTTCTAAAAGTTCATATACTTAATTTTCTAAACCTTACACTATATATTTTATTTGTTTCACACTAAAATCTTTGCTATTTTTAAAAAAGTATTTTAGTCTATCTATTATTTGCTACTATTATTCATTTGTTATTTAACTTAAGGAAACACATTATTAATTATTTTCTGTTTATTATTAAATTAAAATAACTCCTATTTATTAATCAAATTAATTATACGATTTAGCTTAAGAAAAAGTCATACTATTATAGTTACCTTAAGGTTATAAGACTTAAAAAGTATTTTATTTAGGTGACAATTACTATTTTTATTATAAGATTTATTATTATTCATGTCTTAATATAATGCAATTAGATACATATAGATAATTTATTATTTAATCCCATTAAGGTTAATGTAACCTTTCTTTTTTATTTTAAATATTAAATATATAATTATATTTTTATTTTAAAAAAACATTTAAAAGTATCAAAATAGAAATTACAAGTTCAGAATTAACTAAAAATTTAATGCTAAAAGGAGTATTTTTGTCAATAATTTATAAACAAATAAGCTTTAGGAAAATTTAAAAAGCTTTCGACTTATTCAAATAAAGCGATATTTTTATCAAATTCTTAATACATGGATATATTATTAGGAATTTTTGTTCTAAAAACTAATCGTTCGCAACAGCACAAAATATTAATTTAAAAATATTATATAGATGTTTATATATATCTTCAAAAAGAGTTCTAAATTCTTCTTCTTGGAATAAATAGTTTTTTTTTTTTCTACTGAAGAATATGTTGTCATATCGATATTTGATATATTTGATATCATTTTAGTTATATTGCCTATTAGTTAATTTATTAAATTTATTAACAAATAAAAAATATCAATTCCTTCTAATTCATTAACATCCGAAATATCGTTTGCCTAATCAATATCCATTTTATATAAAGAACTACGTCTTTAAACTCGAATATTTCCATATAATAATCTACTAATGTTTGTTAAATGAATAAGGAAAGAAATAAAAAGCTATTTTTATTTAAAAAGATAAATTAAATTTATATATAATATACATACGCATGATTAATCATTTGGTTTATATGAAGCATAAATAAATTTTTAAAAAGTACTAAATTTACTAAAAATAAGCCTATAGCAATCTAACTCTGCAAATTATAATTATGTAAACCCGTCAGATTTTTATTAAAATTTTTTTAAAAACTAATATTGATTTTCTATAATGTTAATTATTTTTGAATATAATTTCAATATTTTTAACTTCTTCAGTTTATTTTCTTTATTAATTTCTAATAAGTTATCTAGTATATATATTAATTCATTTTCTAATATATTTTCTAATTCTGGATTTCCTCTGAAAATCTTTTCACCTTCTTCCAACATTCCTATAAGACATTCTATGCCTATATCAAGTTAGGGTTTTATATTTTCAATTAACCATTTAGGGTTTTATTATTATACAATAAGCATCATATCTTTAAAAAATTAAGCATAATTTTCTTACACCTCAAATTAATCATATTAGATGGCTTGTTAAGATAAAATAGAAATTATTTGTAATTGAACTGTACTGTAGACGCTATTAATAATTTTATTATCGTAGTTTTAGCGCAAGTATATAACTATATTTATTGCTAAATATATGTATTCCATTTTTAAAATCGAAAGTATTTAAGGAGTTATTAAATTACATAATGTTTGTTATAGTTTTATTTAAAACGAAGGTTTATTTATGTGCTTGATTTTTTATAAATATTCTAATAAGTAGTAGAAATCTTCATACTTATTTTTTTTTTTTATTAATGTAAATATTTTTAGTATTTTATTTTTTTTACAGTTGAAAACTACTAGAGACTAAATAAACGTTATAAAAATGTTAATATTCCAGCGTTTATTTTAGATTTTTGTAAATTTATAGCTAAATTTATTATATTTTAAAAATTTTAAAATGGGAAATAAAGTTCCTGTGATTCAAGATCTTTCATTTATTTTCTTTATTTATCAAATGTATTTATAAATTTTTAAATTTCCTTTTTATATTTTATATTTTTTATTTTTCCTTTTTTTAAATTACTTCTTTTATTTATGTATTTTAAAATTTTTTCTTTGTATTATTTTGTAATGCCTTTAATTCATCTACTAATACTTCACACACTTTAGGGGTTAGAGCTTACATATTTTTTACTTTTATTTAAAATTATATATAATTTATTTTTATTTTAATATTATAATTAGTATTAATTAATATATTTTAATTATGTTTTAAAAATTATCATTATATAAAGATTAAATATAGAATTTATAGAATTATTTTTATTAAAATTAAATAATTGACCTTAATTATTGAAAACAATTTGAACCATAAATATATATTAACCATATAAAAAAATAAAGATAAAAAGTAAATTTTATTTTAGAAAAATAAATTTTATTTTAAAAAAATAAAATTTATTTCATAAAAATAAAATTTATTTTAATAAAAAAAATTATTTTATATAAATAAAAATTTAATTTTTTAAATAAAATTTATTTTTTAAACTTTTATATAAAAATAAAAATAATTTTATACTTATATCACATAAAATTCATAGAAACTTAAATATAAAATAGTATAAAATTTTTATTATAAAATAAATTAATTTTTAATAATTATTTTATTATAATAAATTAATATATTATATTAGAAATAATATCAAAATTCAGTCATTATTCATTTTATTAATTTTAACAAATAAAAAATTTAGGTAAAATTGGAATGAACGTGTTATTATTGACTTTGGACTTATTATTTTGATAAAAGTTATCTTTTTTAAATATCTTTTTGACAATATCTTTAATATTAATATTTTTTAAAAGTTTCAAATTCTTTTTTATAACTTTCGTTTTATTTAGGATTTCTTATGAATTAACATTTTTTTTATAAGGAGATCTACTTCTTTATTTATTAGAATTTTTTATCTGTTCCTATTCTATATTTTTCCTCATATTTTAATTAATATTCGAAAAATTATGATGATTCACCTTTTAAATTGAATTTTAGATAAATGATAATTTCTGTAATGGTACGGAAGGATTATTTTAATATAATTGAGGGATTAAGAATAAATTTTGTTACATTTGTTATTATTAATTTATTTAAAAATTAGAAATATACTTTTAATTATTTATGGGAATAAGTAAAGGCAAATTAATAATATATATTTTTATAAGATATATATAGTTTTTTTATTTTTATTTTTATTTTATTTTATTTTTTTAATAATTTTTTTTTTTTATTTTTCGTATATAGTAAAAAATTATAATAGAAATTTGATTATATTTTTATATTAGCTTATTTTTTAGAGAGATTTTTTTATATTTTAATTAATATATATATGAATTTTTTAATCAATATAGAATTTTATTGTTTATTCTTTTATTTAGAATAAATTAGTATATATATTTTTTAAAAAAAAAAAAATAATAGAAAAATAAAAAATAAATATTAATTAAATTTCTATATAGGTATATTGATAATAAAATAATTTTTTAATATAAAAATATTTATTTTTCTTTTTGAAATCAATTAAATAATTTTTAATACTTAAAAAAAAAAATATCATAAAATAATTAAATGATATGAACTTATTTGAATTATTATTTTATTTCATTTAATTAAAAAAAAAAATTAAATAATAATATCATAAATTTTTAGTTATCTTAAAAGAAAAAAAATATTATATATTTAAAATAAAAAAAAATTATAAATATATATAAGATTTTAAAATAATAAATAAAAGCTTTTAAAATAATAATAACACATTAAAAAAAAATATATATATATACAAAAATTTGAATAAAAATAAAAGCATCTTAAAAATGAATAGTAATAATGATGATGAATGTACTGATATTTATTATGATGATTAAATTGAAGAAGAAGATGATTACTCTATTTCAGATTAATTTGTATAAAATGCTCTTTCTTAATAAAATTCGTAAAATGTAAAAAAATACAATATAATTTTTATTACAAATATATAATAAATTTATATATAATAAAAGCATTCATTAGTTTGGAAAACAACAAATGACATATACGATATAATAGAGAATAAAGTAAAACAAGAACTGGAAATTTTAAATCTAAGTTTTGATGAAGTTTTACTCATATATAATTATTATTAATGGAAAAAAGATGCTTTGTAATCTTAATATTTCGAAAATGAAGATAAAGCACGTTTCTAATCTGGACTTTAGCATTCAAATTTAACCAAATACAATTAGCCATTTAAAAATACCTTCGTATGTCCTGTATGTTTAGATAAAACAGATTAATCTGATTTTCTTATATGTAATTAGAGTATATGTAAAAATTGTTGGTATTTATATATAAAAGAAAAGGTATTAAATTTTAAATTAAATAAAAATATTTATGATTTAAAAATTAATAGACATAAAGTGAATAAGGCTAGGTTTTTTTTAAATGTCCTTTTGAAAATTGTTCGCTTAAAGTGCCACATTCGTTTATATTAAAATATTTAAAGAATGAAAATGAAATAAAGCAATATAAAAAAAATATTGGAAAAATTTATTGCATGCAAAGTACAACTATGAAATGCTGTCCATATCCTGATTGTTAATATGCAGTTGAAAATGCTTATTTTACTTAATAATATGTCAAATGTATTTGCGGTAATGTCTTTTGCTTTAAATGTGGAAAAGATAATCATGCGTAAAAATATTAATTATAAATATATTAATTTTTTTCTTTTGTTTTCTTTAGATTTCTTTTATTTTCTTTTTTTTAAAAAAAAATTAAAATATTAATAAATACAAATATATATTTTTTAAAAAAGGCCAAATACATGTTATATGGCTTAAGAATGGGAAAAAAAACATTCTTCAGAAAGCGAAAACCTTAAATGGATTTAATTATACACTAAATTATGCCCAAAATGTCGAAAACCTATAGAAAAAATTAAGGGTGTAATCATATGACCTGTAGACCTCCAAATGGGTGTGGACATGAGTTTTGTTGGATTTGTCTTGCAGATTGGAAAACACATGGTGAAGCTACAGGTGGATATTTTAAATGTAATAAATATGTAGAAGATTAAAAAAGAAAGAAATGGTTGATAAAGAAAAATCTGCATTGGAAAAATACATATTTTATTTTGAAAGATATAGCAATAATTAAAAAGCACATTTAAATGCAATTAAATATTAATAAAATATAGAAAATATTATTAATAATTTACATAATAAATTATATTATGATTAATAATATTTAAAATTTTTATATGAAGCAAATAATTTCATTATTGAAGCTAGATAGTGTTTAAAATGGACTTATTGTTATGGCTTTTACATTGATGATTTATTACATAAAAATTTATTTGAAGATTAATAAAGCTATTTGGAAAAAACAGTTGAATCCTTACATTCGAAAATTGAAAAAACAGATTTTGAGGAAAGATTTATTAGAGATTAAAATTTAGCAGAATTCGATAAATATAAAATTGATATTGTTAATTTAACATAGGCAGGAATAAAAGTAATAAATATAAATATATAAAAATAAATATATATATATATATCTCTATATATATATTTAAATATATATATATATATATATATATATTTATATATATTATAATATTTAAAATATATATATAAATACATATACACATTTTTTTTATTAAAAATTATAATTAAAAATATATTTTTTATTATTATTATTAGTTTAAAAAGAATATATTAGAAGCTTTAGAAAGTAACAATTTATGAATTGTTTTTTTGTATTAGTATTTTTTTTTTATTATATTTTTTGTTATGCAATGTTTAAATATATATATTTTTATTTTTTTTGTCTTAAATTAGTTTAATAAAAAAAAATAATAAATATAATAAATAATATATAATTAAATTTTATTTTTTTTATATTAATTAAATATAATATATATATATTTTTTTTTTTATATTTAAATATTGTTAATAATATATAAAAACTTATAAAGAATTTTTTTTCAATACCATATATATTTGAAATTTTTATTCAAAAACAAATATTTTGTTATTTGAAAAAATAAAAATAATGAATAATTAATATAAAATTTATAATTAACATTATTAATTAAATAAAATACTTGATTTTTTTTATAAAAAAGAATAAAAAGATATTTAAATTAATTAATAAATAAATATATATATATAAATTTATATATATATATATCTTTATTTATATATAAATATTTTTTATTTTTTATATATATTTATTATCTTTTTATAATATTAGTTTCTAAATTTCGAGCCTAATAATAATAATTTATTCTTACAATAATTTTAATTTATTCATATATTCAATTAAATATATTTGTACAAATTTTTAATATAATTAAAAACATTATTATATTTTTTTTTTTATTATTGCTTTTTATATTTTTTTTCATTTTATTTATATAATTTTATACATTTATCTTTATTTTAAAAAAGATTTTTTTTTTTATATAAATATGTTATATAATGTATATTATTTTAATAACTAACCTATTATTTTATTTTTATATTTTTTTTTATTTTTATTTGTTAAATATCAATAATCAATTTATTTTTAAATATATACTTTTTTTTTATTATTATAAAATTAAATTAAATATGTAAATATTCAATTTTAATTTTTTTGTTTAGTAAATATTTAAAATTAATTATTTTTTAAGAAAATATATTTAAAATTAATTTTTTAGATAAATTATAATTTTTATTTTTTAAAAATATCATAAATAGTAAATATTTTATTTGTTATAATAATACAATAAATAATAAAAAATAAAATATTAGATAGTTTTTAAAGATTTTATTAAACCAAAAGATGTTAGTTTAAATTTAATTAAATAATGGTCAAAGAAAAAAATTATTTTATGTATATAATATATTCATTTAGAATATACATATCTAATAAACAATATATTATATATATATATATATATATATATATATATATTTATATATATATATTTAAACATTTATTACGAATGTGAAGAAAATTTTTTGTATTTTTTCTTATTTTATTAAATTTATTTGATAAACATATTTATTTTAAATAAGAATTAGTGTAAAAAATTGACCTTAAAATATCAAATTAGTGGAAAAGTAAATGCAAATAATCTTAGATAAAATAAGATTATGAATACGTTTCTTAAAGTTTTGTTGGTATTAATTCCTTACTAATAAAATATTTTTCATCAGATTGTGAGAAATGCTATAGTTTTATAAAAGTTTTTATTCTTTGTAAAATTTGTATTATCGATTTATAAGGATAAACAGAATATTATAATATACTTTTTTAGATGGAAAATAATTACTCTTTAAGAAAGCGTTTAGTAGTGATTTAAAAACACCAAAAATAAAATAAACGGGATTTTAAATTATTAATAATGAATTATATGTTTAATTTAATAATTTTGGATATACTGAGCTTGTTTGTGGACCATTTACTTGTTGTAAGAATTGTATGATTTTAAGAAAATTTACTAATTTGTAGGTTATATTATAATTTAATTCAATTTTTATTTATTTTTTATTTAGACTCGGCATATTAAAGTTAGAATTAGTTTTAAGTTATATATGATAGATAATTGTGGTCTTTTTTTCGGAGTTGTAGATATTAAGCTTTATATTTATTTAAAAAAATTGTAAGTTTTTTAAAAAAAGTTACGAGGTGGGTGCATGTACTAGATGTTTTCTAGAAGAAAAAAAAGATAATTCAAAGAAAAAATAAATTATTAGATTATTTGAATAATATTCAAAATAAAAAATAAAAATATTTCATTTAATATTTTATTTAAAATTTTGCTTTTTTTATTTAAACTAAAAAAAACATTAAAAAAAATTAACAATTATAAAAAAGTTAAAATATAAAAAACTAAAATTATAATTATATATATATATTAAATTAAAATTAAAAAATGGCCTCAAATATATAAAATCCTATAAAAGAAGATAAAGATAAAGATAAAAAAAAACAAGAAGAAGAAGAAAAGAAGGCTGATGAAGATTTCGTCAAACAATTAGAATTAGTTTCCTATAAAGTAAGACGAACTCCTGAATTATATAGAAAAGAAGTAACCTAATATTATTCTGAATTCAAGTAAACATTTGAAAAAGTAAAGGAAAATCCTTTATAAAAAAATAAAAAGTTTGCCGAATTAGCTGTTTTCTTAGCTAGAATAGCCTAATTTTATAAATTCGAAATTCTCGAGTAATACGTGACTGAGTTTTTGGATAATTATGCAAATTAAATGAATCCTTTTTTACGTAAAAAAATGGTAGCTTCTTTAATGATTTTACGTTCTAAAAATCTTTTGAAACCTGTAGAAAGTAATTCTTTTCTTTTAAAACTTTTAAATTGTTAAGATAAAGTACAAAAAATATCTATATATATATATTTATATATTAATTTTAATATTTAGGAATTAAGAAAAATGATAACTAGTCATATAGTAAATGACATTAAAAGAATGAACAAAAATACAAAAAATATTAAAATAAATAAATAGATATAAAATATAATATTTGAAATATTAAAAAAGAATACTGATGGAATCGCAAAAAGAAGTCTTTAAATAATGATAACTTTATACAAGAAAAACATTTGGATAGATTAGAAAACAATAAATATTATCGCTTCTGGATGCTTAAATGATAGTTATAAAATAAAATTGATTTCTTGTTTTTTTTTGGTGGCTACAACTGAATTAGAAGAATATGAATCTGACAGTAGTGATGATGATGATGATAATGATAAAGACAAAAGAGAAAAAAAGGGAGTAACTAAAAAAACTAAAGCTAAAATTGCCAGAATGGAACGTGAGAAAAAAAATCTGCAAAAAAATTAAGAAAAAGAATGAAATAAACCATCAAAAATAATTTCTACCCTATAGATCAAATTTACAACCCTTAAGATTTTTGTGAAAAAATTTTCGTTTTATTGAAAAAATCGCATGAAAAGTTTCCTGTAAAAATGGCTATGATGCATTTAATTTCAAGAATGATTGGAAGACATTAACTAATCATACTTTCTTTTTATTCTTTTGTTTAAAAATATTTATAACCTCATCAGAAAGAAATTACAAAAATTCTAGCTTATTTAGCTGAATCTGTTCATAAATTAGGTATATATTTACATTTTTTTTTATTTTTTTTATTAAATAATTTAGTTCCTCCTGAAGAACTTTAAAGTGTAGTAAAGCATATAATAGAGAATTTTGTGAATGATAGATGTTCTGAATAGGCGATGACATGGGGTTTAAATACTATAAGAGAAATGTGTTTAAAGAATTATCATATAATAGATGATTTTAGTTTGAATTATTTAGCTGGATATTACAATTATAAAAATAAATATGTGAGTAAATCTGCTAAATCAATTATTAATTTATTTAGATAAATAAATCCGAAATTACTTGATAAGAAATTTAGAGGAAGAATGAAATAAGATAGTAGATTAAATGATGATAATGACGAATTGCTTGGATATGGATAAGAATATGTACATGATAAAATAGAAGGGGCTGATTTAATTGATGATGGAGGTGATGTGCCTATTTATATGGATAGAGTTATGACCGATGAAGATTTTAGGAAAATTAAATTTTTACAAATGAAATAAGCTTAAGAAGAAGATTTTAAATAATAAGAAATTATTGAAAAAATGAAACTTAATGGATACTATAACGATGAAGATTCTTGGGAAGAAGATGAAAACGATGAAGAACAAGAGGATTACAAATAAAATAAAAAAGATAAAAAATAATAAAAAAAGAATAATGATTATAATTCAGAAGACTATAATGAAGTTTCTGAAATTTCAGATGATTATCAAGAAGATGAAGAAGGAGACGAAATCGAAGATGAAGAAGATGAACTTGAAGAAGGAGATGAGGATGAAGATGAGTTTGAGGATGAACTTGAAGAAGGAAATGCAGATGAAGCAGAAGTAGAAGAATATAAAAAGTAAGTATAATAAATATAAATTGAAGGAAAAATATAAAAAAATGAATAAAATAAATAAAAAAGTGAAGATGTAAGTAAGAAATAAAAATCTAAAACATTGAAATTGAATAATAAGAAAAGAAAAGAGGACCTTGCTAAATTTGAAGGATATAGTTCTTTTGATTCAGAAGAATATGAAGAAGAATTCGAAAATAATAGAAATATTCATGGATTTATAAATTAAGATTATATTAATATATTTAAAAAGAAAAAATCAGAGGCTAAAAAAGAAAGATAGGAAGAAAAAAGAAAAGAAGTTAAGGAAAAATGGTATAATGGACCTAAAGAAAAAGGCGGTGGTCTTTCTAATAAAGACAAATAAAAAAAAAAATTACTTTAAATGTTAAGACCTAAAAGAAATTAAGAAAATTTATAAATTAAAAAAACCAAAAATAAAATTAAATAATTAAAAAATCAACTTGGACATTTCTAATCAGGAAAACATAAAAAAACTAAATAGAAAAAAGTTAAAAGAGCTTGATTTTATAGGTTCATTTTGTTAAAAAAGTGATATAAAATGTATTAATTTTAATTGTTTTTTATTTGCATTTGAAAAATTAAAAAAACATTTTTTTTAAAAATATTAAATATAATTTTTTATAATAATAAATCCAATTTTTTATTAAATATAGATATATAAATTATATAAAATTAATTTCATTTTATTTAATTTTTCTCTAAAAATCTTTATCAAATATTATTTTATTATATCATTTATATTAATTATTTATAAAGGTTTAGCTATTTATTATATTTTTAAATAAATAAATATTTAAAAATTAAAAAAAATTACTTTATCAAAATAATTCTTTGATAATCCTATCATTTATTTATTTCTATTTTGCAAATCATTTATAAGCCTTTCTTTTTATTTCTATAAAGAATATAATAAATAGTAATAAAGAAAATAATATAGTATTACTTATTTTAATAAAAATTCTGCTTTTGTATCATAAATAGTTTTTTTTAATTATTAAATTATATTTTTTTCTTAATCAATTTATTCAAATATCAGATTATTTTAATTTTTTATTTAATTAATATGCTCACATTCATTTATTAATATTTACTTATTTTCATTAATTATAATATTTCTAAATCTTTATTCTTCGTTCATATTTTAAAATTTATGAAAACCTATATTTTATTCTCTGCCGTAAATTGTTATATTGTTTTTTTATTTCTCAACAAAATTTTTATCATTTGTAATTAATAATTTTATTTCTTGATTTCGGTTTTATAATTCATATTTTAGTTTTTATAATTCACACGTTTTCTTAATTAATTAATTAAAAAAATATATAGATATTGACAAAATAATTATTACATACATCTTTTATTTTTTTATATTCAAAAACTTTTTCTTATATTTATTAAGTTGAGTATTTAAAAAGTTTTTATGATGTTATATTATGAATATACGAAATTTGATTTGTATTTATTTTTAAAGGTGACAATAATTCTTAAAAATCAGATATTTATGTAAAATTTTGTTTAGTTGGTGTTTTAAAAATTTTTTAAGGAGTTTAGCATCTTTCTAATTAATAATGATAACTTTTTTAGTCTTATTATAATTTTATAAATCTTACTAATTGCTTGATTTATTCTTTTTAATAATATTTTTATAAATTAATATTAAAATTTACTCTTTTAATCCTTAGTTAGGTTGTATCTTATGATGGCTTTATAATTAATCAATTATCATTTAAAAGATGCTTTTATTATCTATAAAAATTCAAATATATTTTATTTTTAATATTTATATTTACATTTTAAATGTATTAATAATTTTTTTTTATTTTTAATAAATTAAAAATTATTTGAAATCATTTTCATATAAATATTTGTATGTTCCATTTTTTAATTTAATGAATTATTAATAGATAAATTAATTTAATGGCGTTCTGTTATAAAATATTTTAAACCATCTGAAGTATTTCTTTATTTTTATATAAATCTTTGTTAATTTGGTTAATCACGAATTAGCATTTTAATACAATTTATTTGAAATTATAAGTTTTTTTTTTTTATTAAAAATAAATTAATTTTTTTAAATTAAATATTTATTTTTTTATACTTTAATTAATTTTTCATTTTTAAATTTCAAATAAAATCTATGAATATTAATTACACTAAAATTTTTATATCATTATATTTTTTAAAAAGTAAATAAGTAAAATAGATTAATATAAAAATTTTATTAATCTTTTTTAAATATTTAAAAATAATATCATTATATATTTTATTCATTAAATTAACATATGTCATGAAAATAATAACTTTAAAATGCTTAACTTGAAAAAAGTTTTAAATTTAGATCGACTATAAAACAAATTATATTTTAAAAATTATTAATAAAATTAAAAACATAAAATTGTTAAATAATATTAAATAAATATAAAATATAAATTAATACAATTTTTTCATAATAAAGAATATTATGATTTTAATTTATGCCAGTTTTTTTTAAAATCATTTTCTATTTCTTCCAAAGTAATATTATTAAAGTAAAATAATTATTTGTTTCTGATAGAAACATTTTAATAAATTTCGATTTTGGCCTATATATTCAACTAATTTTAATTATTATATGCTATTTTTTTTTAAACTATATTATTTTAGACTTAAATACTTGTATTATGTTTATATTAAGACGATTCTAATGTAATTAAATTATTCTGCTATTATTGCTTTAATTTTATATCATTTTAATTATTCTATTATTATTGTTTCAATTTTATATCATTTAAAGTTTGATATTGATAATCCAATTATCTAATAATCTTATTTATTTGATTTTCAGAAGGAATTTGTATAATTGAATGTATGCTTTATTCTTATTTTTCTTTTTAAACAATTTCTTATTATTAAATTTATTCTTTTAAGTCTTTGTGATGTGTTTGAAACAAACTAATTTCATCTTTAGAAATATAGATATTTATTTTAAAATTTTTATTATTCTAAATTTATTACTATTCATTTACCTTTTGACTATTTTATTCATTTATAATGTAACTTTTTTAAGGTTTTTTTTATTATTTTGTAGTTTTACTCGTTTAACAACCCATTATTATATATTTTATTTTAAATTTGGAATTATAAATTGAAAAAAATTAGAATTTTTTTTATGATAATTTTATTTTGAAAAAAAATATTAGCTAAAATAATATTTATATGCTAGACATTTCATTAAAATTAGAAAAAAATAATTTATTTATTATAAATTATCTAAATCTTTTGTATATTCAAATTCTTTATTAACTATTTTTTATAAATTAATGAAGTTATAAAAGTTATTATTAATAGAAATCCACATAATAAATATTATTATAATATTAATAAAACATTAAAAAAAATATACATTGTTTAAAATAAACTCATTTTAAAATAAATAATCCAATTATTTAAAAAAAAACTAAAATTTTTATAGAGTATATTCTTTGATAAGAAAATCTTAAATTATATATTAAAAAATAAATATAAAAAACTTAATTAAAGGAAACTTTATAGAGAAAAGAATAAAATCAAATTAAAAAAAAAGCTAAAAATAAATCAAATCAATTAAAATAAAATATAACAAACATATAAAAAGTAGAATAAAAAAAAAAAAAAAAAATATTTTTAAATAAAATTTTTTGTTTTTTGTAAATTTTTAAAACAAGTTAATATAAAAAATAATAAAATAGATAAAAAAGTTATTAATAAAAATATATGATATGATGAAAAAAATAAAATATTTTTGTTGATATATCAATATAACCAAAAATTAATAATTATTATAAAAATTTTTAAATTGAAATAAAATGAAACATTAACTAAACAAAAAGAATTTTTCCTCATGAATAAAATAATCAATTAAAATATAAGTTTAATTGATCCAAAAAGATAATTATGATTATATAAATGAAAAATTTTTAAAAATTTTAATCAAACAAAAAGCTTTAAGTTTTAATAGTAGATTAATTTTAAAAATAAATACAGCAAAAATTAAACTTAAATATAATAGATTAGTTATTCAAAAAAAATTAAAAATGGATATAATTATTTAAACATATTTGTATTATAATTAAATTTAATTTTAAAAAGAGAATAAAATTAAATAAATTGTTAGTTACTAAATTAATAATAAATATGTGGATTTATTTAAGAATCAATAAAATTATTCTAAATATTTCTTAAGAAAAAAATAAACATTAGTCAAAATCTTAAATAAAGTTTTATACAAAATAATGTAAATTATGATAATTTATAAAAATAAAAATAGAAAATAAAATTTAAATTAAAATAAATTCAAAATATATAAATATAATATGAGCCAATAATTTGTATATATAAAATTTTAAGGTATTTAATTAATAAAGACAAAAAAATATTTTGATTTAATATATATTTATCAAAAAAAATATAATAAAATTTAAAGTTGAAAATGGTTTTATAAAAATAAAAAAATTCTTAATATATAATATATAAAACAAAATAATAATAAAATTTTTTCTTTTGAAATATAATAATTTTAAAATAAATTACTTTCAAAAACATTATTTATATTAAAATATAATAGTAATAAATAAATAAAATATAAGCTTAAAAATAAAAATAAATAAATTATAATAATATAAAGAAAAAATTATATATTTTATAAACAATTAATTTAAAAATGATTCATTGTTTAAAAAATATAAAGAAAATAAATATCCATAATTAAATTGTCTATAATTTAGGAGGAAGTAAGAGATAACCTACTCCTAAAGATTTGGACTCCTATGATGTTGTGTGGGTCGGTTCAAATCTTGGTGGTATTTGCAGGTTTACTTATATTTCTTTAATAATATTATATCAAAATAAAGTTCGCATACTGATAAAGCTGCACACGGCAAATTTAAAATGTTTGTTTGCTTTGATTCACCTGTAAATCAAATTTATCCAGTCCGCATGGTTTATGAATAATAACATGTCAAAAAAAGTGACTATGTATAGTTTTCTAAACTCGCAATTAACTAGTAATTATTAACCTATAATTATATATATATATATATATATAATTTAAGATTTACTCCTTCAGAATTAAGTTCAGTTAAATAAATATAACCTGATGAGAATGCAATTATATTACAAAATGGCAGAAGATCAGCTATAATCATTTAGTTTTAGCTACAGGAATGAGACATGATACTTAGTAAATAAAAGGA